CTTTCAAGTGATGCCCCATCCACCCTATTCTTCCAACTTGGCTCCTTCTGACTATTATCTGTTCCCCAAATTCAAAAAACATCTAAAGGGACAACGATTTGGGAGTGTTCTGGAGGCAACTGATGCTGCAAATGAGTGTTTACACCAGCAGTCGGAAGAATTTTATTTGCAGGGACTTAAGAAGCGGCAGGACAGATGTTGCAAGTGCATTGACTTCCTGGGGGAATATGTAGAATAGTGTGGCAGTTACAGCTTCCTAGCTCAATTTTTTTCTGGGAACGGCTCAGTACTTACCAACACCCCCTTGTATTGCCAGTTAATATCCCAGATATTAAAAACAAGTACCAATTTTTTAAAAAAAATCTTTATCTCGAGTAGATGCTGTCTAGGGGGGTGGGGTAGAAATCTAATAAATAAATAAATAAAATTAGATTCTCAGAAAAAGTATTGGAAATTCGAATTTGGTAAAAATATATTTAATAGTTTGTAGGCCCAAAAATATATACTTAATAGTTTGCCTCCTTCACCTAGGCACAAATTCAAGATCCCAGGATTTTCTAGGGATAAGGCACTGTGATTAGGTTACTTTTTCATCTTTGCTGTAGATCAGCGTTTGAGAACATTACTTTGTGGGACTCTTAATTCCTAGAATTCTTAAACCAACCTGGCCTGGCTGTGACAACCGAGGTCTTTTAAGAGCTGTGGTATCCAAAAGGAACATTTTGAAACTGCATATGCCATTTCTGTCTTCCATTCAGAAACCTTTCAGATAGCCCATTACCAATTTGCTTTTTGTGGAAGCTGACATCCTGGCTTATCATGTTACCAATGTAAATTATGCTTAGGATGGGTTGGCCTGCAATGGGAGATATTAGAAACTCTGCATCAAATAGACAGTAGCGGGGTTAGATGGGTGTTTTCATTAAACTGCAATTAAGGTATAGTGATAGAACTTAATATGCGGCTGATGCAATTTACAGTCAAGAGTATTGAGTTGCTAGGGAAGGGAGTAGAGCTCTTTTTAAAAAGAGGAATGTGTTTCTCATTAAGCTGCTGTAGGCTGCAGGATGTTATCAATCTGCCTGAGAGCACTGTGTGCGCTTAATTCAGGTCAAGCAATGCGAACACCACTATAAGTAAAGTTTTATCTTACCTTATATGGGCACAGTGGGAGCTGGAACTCCGTTGTGCTTTCATAAGGCTTCAAGGAGGGATTTTTAAAGGCCCCGAAGTGGTTGTTGCACTGACACCCTGGTGGCAAGGAAGAGCTTCTGGCTTGTAAAGTGAGCTTGAGTTTCCTACCAGGGTAACCTCTTGAACCCTTTTGGGCACGCCTCTCCTCAGAGCTGCACAAATACAAATCCACGCCTTTGCCAAAGCTTGTCGGCTTTTCATTGAGTCCAGATAATGCAATTAGCTGGTGTTATCTTTTGATAAGTCATTCCCGCCTTGACTCTGAATAAATGCCCTGACATTCTTTCAGGGCCAAATGCATTTGCTAAGAATAAAATGCCTGAGGCCATTCATGTTTTTAACTAAGCAAAATTACTGTTTTACACTGCTTAGCAGAAGAGGAATAAGCATATTTTTATGACTTCCTATATGTATTCTTGGGGAAAAAAGTCACCCAGTTATGCACATTTGTTTTAAATATGGGTTATTATGAGTGAAAAATCTCATACAAACTGATTGTGAAACTGGTTCACTATATATTTTTTATTTTGTACAGTTAGTTATGAGAGAAGATAAAGGGTTGGCATATATTTGGTTCACGTTTTAATGGGAACTGACCTAATTTATTTATGAAAGTAGTACAGTACATCAAGCATAGCATAATTATCAGTTTTCACAGTTCCTCAAATTTTATGGTCCAGTTCTCTGAGAAAAAAATGCATATACCTGTTCATTGTATGAAATCCCCTTTACATGTTTTTGTAGATATTTCTTCTAATCAAGATTACTACTGTGAATCTATTTCTGGGTGGTTCCCCCTCCCCCCCCCAAAAAAAGCTAATAGATAAACAAGATGAAATGAACATGTGCTTCAGAATTGAAACACTCAAGTTGAAACTAAAATAGATAATTCCAATTAAAATAGATAATTTTGATTGTTTGTTAAAAGTTTTTTTAGCCTATTTCTGTCCAATAGAGATCTTGGAGTGCAGCCCTAGGTTGAATGTCTGTCCTTATATATGTATATGGTTCTACTTTAGGGGAAACTCTCACAGTGCAACTTCCAGTTAAAGATAAAATAGGTGACAAACAAAATAAAAAGAAAGAGGATCTTTGGCCTTATGGACATAGGGACAAATAAAAATTTCCCTCTGAAGGTCCCTTGGACATCGTAGTCTTCAGAAGGTGTCAAAAATTCATTGCTAGAAATTGCATGTTGGCTTCCTGGGACTGCTGTTCCCTGAGTTGTGAGACATTGTAGTTCTAAGATTTGATTTTAAGATCTGTTGGTTTAAATTTGTGATATAGACATGGCCCTGTGTTCACTACTTAGCCTTGGACAGTCCCACACTATCTGGACATCATTATACTCTTAAGATCAACAGAGGACATGGTAACATCAGCAGGAGACACTTATAATCTAAGATCAGCCAAGGACACTAAATAACTTATTTTCATGTCAGATTCAGACAGCAAGAGCATGCAGAGAAACATTCTTGGTGGTTTCTTTCTGTCATGACTACTAGCCTATTGAATATACCTCCATACTATTACTTTGTACTTTTATAGTCAACGCCACTGCTGGCCTCATCAGAAAATATCACATCACCACCGGCAGCTAATGTCAGAACATTGCTTACAGGTTTGCTTCTGTAGTCTGCAATGACTATGCAGTGTTATAGTTCTCAAATATTTAATTATGTTAGTGTGTTCCAGCACATATAAGAAAAGAACAAAACCAAAACAAGGTATTTTGGTACTTTAAAGACTCACACATATTTCAATGTGAGCTTTGATAACTGCAGTTCATTTCCTCTGGCATATGAAATAAACCCATACTAAGTAAGGTTAAATTTAGTTTCTGATATACCTGTTTCCAAAACATTTCATAGTATGGGATAGCAGGCTTAGGAGATGTACTAATTAGAACTACACATACATTTCTGAAATTTAAAATAATGCAGTTACATTCTAAAACTATATTATTTCCATCCCATTATATGTGTGAAAACAATCAAACTGGTAAAGCCAACAGTTATATGAAATCAGATGGCAATGGGTTACATACAACAACAGGTAATGCTGGGAAAACCAAATCTTGGATTTAATGATCAGAAAAGTAATGTATTCCTCATTAGATTTTTTTAAAAGAGCAACTCATTAGTGGAAGTAACAAATTCTTAACTCACTGTTAATGAGTTTGTTTCAATATACTTATTTTTTTTTAAAAAAAGGCCTCGAACCCTCAAAATCACCCTAATAATACTTCTAAAGTAACAAGTAAATGTTACTTGTTGTGCAAAAATTCTAATATTAAATATAAGTCATTATCATCAAAACATTTCACAATATTGCAGCCCTCACTGCCTCCATTAAAGAATCATATCATTATGGTGGTGTCTCGCTTACCAGGCGCCCTGTTTAACGACGAAATCGCATAGCGACGAAGATTTTGCAATCGCTTTTGTGATTGCATTGCGATGTTTTGAATGGGAAAAATTGCTTTGCGATGATCGGTAACCTGTTTCGCTTACCGATTATCGCATAGCGATGATTTCCCAACAGCTGATTGGTGGTTCCAAAATGGCCGCCGGGTAAAAAAATGGCTGCCCGCTGTGTTTAGGAACGGATTCCTCGCTTACCGGGCAGCGAAAATGGCCACCGTATGGAGGATTTTCACTTTAAGGTGAGTTTTAAGCCCATAGGAACACATTGAAGGGGTTTCAATGCATTCCTATGGGCTTTTAAAAATTGCATATCGACGAAATCGCTTTGCAGTGCTTTTTGCTGCACGGATTATCGTCGCTATGCGAGGCACAACTGTACTCTCAAGTTGTTAGCATTGCTTTCAAGCTCTTGAAGTATTTGCAGTCCCACAGATATTCCCTATATCTGGTCTGCAAGAGATTTGGGGGTACACAGGAAGTTCGGGGGAGAGAAGGAAGCAGAAATACTGTTGCATGAGTGGAAATATGCAGAGATGTCTGATGAATCCTAAATAAACTCTTATTGCTGACTCTGTTAACTTAATCTTAGTTATTAACTGTACCAAATTATGCTTATCTTTACTGCCTGTACTAGAGGAATGCCGAGGCTACCTCTAAAATGTGCATATGCAACTCCGCCTCCCTCCACCCAGTTTTCTTCCTCCTCCGCACAACGATTGCATTCAACCTCTTTGGTTCTGGTCACAACGGAACCCTGCAGGGGGGGCGGAGTCACAGGGACACACATGCAGGGGTGAAGTCATGAGAGAGAGAGAGAGAGAGAGGAAAAAAATTAGAGGGCACGTTAAGGACTGCAGAGCCTCTTAAAGACTACAAAATAAATGTTTGTGACATAAGCTTTTGCCTACATAAACACGCACACTTGTACAGGGAGTAGGGGTAGGGTTGAAATGCAAACAGAAACCTGCCAACTGCAAGGCCAGGCCATTCTTTTGAAACACGCCAACGCCTATTACCTGTTTGGGCTGGCTCTGGGAGGGAGGATTAGGGTTCAAATGACAGAGGAGAGGGTTCCAGTGGTATTTTACACTTTGTCTGCTCTCCGTCTCCTGACCGAGTGGGCAAAAAATATGAAGCAACTTCATCCATTTGCAAAATGAGAACTACTTTTTGCTGAAGGTGGCTACTGTGAGAATGGGAGGAGGAAATTGCTACAAAGTAGTGTTCATGTTAAAAGCCCTATGTAAACAAATGGATGAGTTTTAAGTAAATTTCGAATACCTGGCTGCATGGGAGCACTGGGAGAGCTCTGGAAAAATGTACTGGTAGTAACGTCCTCATTGACAGAACTTCCCCCACTGTCTCTTTTCTTCTCAATAGAAGAGCGAGTGGTTCCCATAGAAGTGTGTCGTTCCAAGCTGTCCAAATATCTGCAGGGAGTCGTTTTCCGCTGTGACAAGTGTACTTTCACCTGTTCCAGTGACGAGAGCCTACAGCAGCACATAGAGAAGCACAATGAGCTTAGACCGTACAAATGCCAACTCTGCTACTATGAGACCAAGCACACGGATGAGCTGGACGCTCACCTCCGAGATGAGCATAAGGTGAGTTCCTGCTGCGTTGTGTCCAGTGCTGCCTACATGACACCATTAGGTGTCACACAGCTACAGACAGATGCTTATTGTCCCACATGCAATGCCACATTATCCATCATATTTTAAAGACCCATTTCTTGAAGGTATATTTCATTTTCAGAATTCACTGACATAAGATACCCTTCTGGCTTCTAGGGCAGAGATGGGCAGCTTTGGAGGTTCGTTTCTACTTCTCAGTTAATCACCAACATTTCTCATGTAACCAGTTAAGAATCTATTTGTCCCTCTCTGAAATTGAGATTGCTAAGTGAGGGGGAGCAACTTGTTCTAGTGCCTTATGAATAATTACACAAATGCATTGAAAGTAAATATAATTGTGACTATTAGTCATGATTGTTTGCAGCTTCAAACAAAATATTACAGTATGGAGTGCTGCTGTTCATAGTTCAGTCTATACTCTATTACGACCCTCTATTCCGTTTAATCCCTGGATTTTTTGTCTCCTCCAAGTATTCTGAACATGTTCTGTCTTTATTGGACTGCTTTGTTTCCCTCATGCCCACTTTAGGCTTTCTTTGCTTAAAGATCACTGAACGGAAACATGTTATTTGTCCAGGGTTAAGCCTATTGTTCCTGCTCATAAAACCTAATCAATCTTTAGTGCATAAAGAATTAGAAATGATCACACAATCTATCCTTAGAACACTGGAAAATTAGAATCTGGACTGTTGCAGTTATGTCCCAATGCTCTTCTGCCCAACAGAATAAGAATGTGAAAATATTCTCAAGTTTGCTGATTTGGGGATTTGTAGTCCAAAAAGACAACTTTTCCAAGGTCTGTGCAGAATACAGGCTATGGTGATCTGCTTCTCCTTCACTATTTTGGGTACCACCATTCCAATATTCCCCTTCCCTCTAGGTGCAAAAGCAAACATTGCTATTTCAAAATAATTATTTACATATCACTTAATATTTCCAGAACCATTTGCTTTGTCTGTGTGAATATATTTGCTATGGCAAAATTTGACAGTCTCTGCTGAATAAAGATTAGGGCTAAATGTTAAAAGTTAAAGCATGTACCAAGTGCTTTTGGACCACTGGACAAAGTGGTCCAAAACAATAAGGTTCCCCTGTGTTGTTTTCTTCCCTAAAGGTCAGTCGCAATTTTGAGCTGGTTGGACGGGTTAACTTAGATCAGTTGGAACAAATGAAGGAAAAAGAAGAGAATTACAGCAGTGATGAGGAAGAAAAGGAAGAGGAGATGAGCCCCAAAGCGGAAGAAAGAGGTCAGTGTTTGTCCAAAACTAGCAGCCTGGTTTCATAATTACTTAGCCTAATTCAAGTTTTCAAGGAACATGAAAATATAAAGATGTGAAAATAATGGCTAATTGTGGCTAATTGTAATATTGAACACTGCACATATATAGATTTACTTTTACATCATAATGCTAGCATTAAATAGCAACCACACAACTATGGACCAGTGGTTTTTCGAGTTCTGATTTGCTAATTAGATTATCCTTTGACTTAAAGGAAGCTTGAAATAACTGTGGGGTAGAAGTAAGGAATAAAAGCAGATGCTGTTTTCTTTTAAAATGAAATTTACCAGTAGCTGCTGCATTTCCACCCTTGGTTTATACTCAAGTCAATAAGTTTTCTGTTTTTTTGTGGTAAAATTGGGTGCCTCTGCTTATATTCGGGTTGACTTATACTCGAGTATATACAGTATTAATGTATTGTTCTTTTCTACATGGACTCTGTTTTCCATTTGTCCTCTATTTTGCAGGCAACTTTGGTTTGGAAAGTATCTTTCAGTTTGTCCCCACCATGTAGTATTTGGAGTTATACTATCTCTGAGCACCAAACATAATAACTGTAATAATAACTGCCATCAACAGATCTTTTCTGTTATCAACCATGACTCAGCTATTCCCTTCACTTTCCAGTAACCACACCCCCTAGTGTCAAATAAAACCGGGGGCAGGGGAACAATGAAGAAATTATGCAAATAACATAAAGCATGCTTATTGAAGTAAATTTTCTGCTTGGCATTCAGTAGCAGAGTTTGAGGGGGTTTTTTAGTAAAGCTGCAGCTAGTCTTTTTCCCTCTTTTTCTCCCATGATGGGGCACATTTGTTCAGCATGTAGACCAAGCTGTGAAATACCTAAGTAAGGATCAGCATTTTGCAAAATAGACTTCTTAACACCAATGGGCCAAAATTCTCTCTGCAGGTATGTATGTTCTGGTTGTTGTAGGTTTTCCAGGCTGTTTGGCTGTATTCTTAAGGTTTTTCTTCCTAAAGTTTCACCAGTTTCTGAGGCCAGCATCTTCAGAGGACAGGAGTCAAAACTCTGTGCTCTGGTGCAGTTTGTGGGATAGTTGAGTATTTATAGCTGTAGGATCACCTTTTGTCCTTTTCAGGAGATTGGGTGATTATGGTGATCAGCGTGTTTTTTGTTGTGGGTGTATTATTGTGATAAGGGGGAGAGATGATCTGTCACTGTGATTGATGGGTGTCGTTCGCTGGTCTTTTAAGTTGAGTGATCACTGGTCCTTGTCGCTGGATAGAGTTCACTGACCTTTTGCAGGCTGTGTTTTTCAGTGCTGGGAGCCAGACTTTATTGAGTTTTAGACTTTCTTCTTTTTTGTTGAAGCTCTGCTGGTGTTTGTGGATTTCAGTGGCTTCCTGTGCAGTCTAACATAATGATTCCTGGTGTTGTCCAGTACTTCTGCTTTTTGAAACTCCAGCTTGTTTTAAGGCATGTTCAGCTACTGCCGATTTTTCTGGTTCTTTTAGTCTGCAGTGCCTCTCATGTTGTTTGATTCTGATGTGGATGCTTCGTTTTGTGGTTCCAATATACATCTGGCCAGAACTTCAAGGTATCCGGTATACTCCTGCAATGGTGGGGGGGTCCCTTTTTTCCATTGCTGACCGTAAAATTTGTTGTATTTTTGTGGTGGATCTTAATACTGTTTGTAGGTTGTGTTTTTTCAAGTTTCCCATGAGGTCTATGACCCCTTTGATGTATGGCAGAAATACTTTATTTGTGGGTGGCTGTTTTACTTCTTCAGTTTGTTGTTTTCTTGGATTGATGGCTCTTGTGATTTCATTCTTGGAATAGCCATTTGCCTGTAGGGCCCAATTCAGATGGTTGAGTTCAGTGCAGAGAAACTGAGCTTATCACAACAAAACACCCACAACAAAAAACACGCTGATCACCATAATCACCCAATCTCCTGAAAAGGACAAAAGCTGATCCCACAGCTATAAATACTCAACTATCCCACAAAACTGCACCAGAGCACAGACAGAGTTCTGATTCCTGTCCTCTGAAGATGCCAGCCACAGAGACTGGCAAAACATTCAGAAGAAAAACCTTAAGAACACAGCCAAACAGCCCAGAAAACCGACAACAACCATTGGATCCCGGCTGTGAAAGCCTTCAAGAATACAGTCTATGCTCTCTTCAGTAGATGGTTTTCATTCTAAATGAAAGGAAAAAAGTATGGGGAAGAAAATGACCATATATCTTCCCAGCAGAGGAACTGGCATGCATGTGTGTGCACTCAGACACACACACACAAACAAACATGCATAAGAGAGAAAGAAAGAATGTCAGTGGCTTAAGTTGGCTCATCAGCTGTGTACATTATAATAAAACATGGAAATGAGACAAGCAGAGATCAGCAGTAAATGAAGCAAAAACCCCATTCCTTTCATTATGTACTTTAAGAGGACTCTGGGAAGGCAAAGACATTGGCATTCTGTTGTTTCCTTGCTCAAGATAATCCCCACTAAGATAGAAAGAAAGAATGTCAGTGGCTTAAGTTGGCTCATCAGCTGTGTACATTATAATAAAACATGGAAATGAGACAAGCAGAGATCAGCAGTAAATGAAGCAAAAACCCCATTCCTTTCATTATGTACTTTAAGAGGACTCTGGGAAGGCAAAGACATTGGCATTCTGTTGTTTCCTTGCTCAAGATAATCCCCACTAAAGAATTAATGCTTGGAGCAGATGGCACCGTCTCATTTTCAGTGAAAAGAATCAAGCGAGATAAGTCTAAGCAATTATTTTTAATGGCCTTTGTGGCAATCATCTTAATTTTGCGAGAAAACATTTCATCTTTTGTTTGTGGCCAGCTCTCTTGTTCATGCAGGGCCTACATTCCAGCCTTTAGCATGTCTACAGTGACTTCAAGGTGTTGAGAGTGCTCAGTTATAACCTGACAGGGCATAATGCAGCCGGAGCTTAAACACGTCCAAGTTCTGTTGATTCAGGCAGGCAATTAGCTTTCTTCCCACTGAAACTCATGGGGTCGAAGAAGTGTTTAAACTTTGGCTGGATCTTGCCTACAGTTTTGATGGGTGAGGCATGGCCAGATTAATGGCAATACTTCATTGGCTTTTACCCTCCACAAGGAATGCCTTGTCTATAAGGTGGAATTCATATATCAGAAAAACTATGGCAGCAATCCATGCCTGTTTAAAGCTGGTGGCACAGTTCCCATTCATTTGAATGTATCTGGATTATGCTGTAAAGCTCAGCATTCTAAGCTGCTGTGCCAGCAGCTACCCCTTTCTTTTGTATTACCTGTTTACATCACAGTGGGAAAAACATGCTTGCTCATAAAAAGAAACCTAAGGGGAAAAACCCTTTGTTGCCCCCCCTACAGCCAGCTCTAACACTACAGTTATAATTAATTTGACCTCAAAGAATCCTTGAAAAAATCTATTTTCTGTAAATTGCTTCCACCATTACAATGACATGAGTATTCTAACATAAAAAATTTATCTGCAGTGTGGTAGTACACACAGCTTGTTCACTGCTCCTTTTGCACTAAGTGGGTAAAATAAATCAGAAACAGAAAAGTTTTGCTAAAGATACAACAAACTAAGTCCTGGTTTGTTGCTCCCAAACAAGCCAAGATTCATATGCCAACAACAACCTAATTTATTCTTGGCTTACAACTCTGGCTTGTGTGGGAGTGACAAACAAGGAGCCCAAGTTTGGACACCAACTCAAAACTTCCAATTTGTGTTTGTTTTACTTACCAATATGATGGAAGAACTATTGAACTGTCGAGGGCAGGATAATAAACCAGCAGTTCTGGCGTATTGTTCTGTGCAAATACAGCCAAGTGAAGAAACTGGTGCCCCAGCTTCTTTATGGTTCCTGCTCATTTCCATTGTTATTTCAGATGAAATAGATAATTTGCATCTGTATCAAAGATGGCAGTGTAGTAGAGATTAATGGCATCTATTTTGTACAAGATAGCTCTGAAAAAAGCAGGAGTATTGTAATGTTGAAAGATAATCTCCAAATGTTGAGAATTCTGCCCTAAACATCTGCCGTGTGCCGACAGAACTAGATGTCCCAGGTTTCCTTGGAAGCAAGCCAGTAATCGTTAACGACATTTAGTATAGAGCTTTGAAACAGAGCCCTTCCATCTAGAATTGTTTTCAAGAGTAATTAAGAAAAACTGTAATTTAAAATGAAGGCACGGATACAGTAGAAACTATGAGATAGTGACTAATCAATTGCATTCTCAGTGAAAGACAGGCCTCTTAAATCTCAAAGGATGCATTTGTGAAATGAAATATTCTAGTGCAATGTTCATGTTTCTCCAATTCCATCAGGCAAAAATTGGCAACATATTTATGTCAGTGGAATCTGCTGAGTATCCATCTTCCTGGCTGTATCCAAATTTACATATATTTTAATTAAGTGTTTTGGATTAAGTTTGGGAATTGGGATGCCCGTGAGGGGGCTGGAATTGCTTCTTGGGATTCCTTCTGTGGAGCTGGATGATGATGATAGGGTTGCTGAACAGCAGGTTCTGTGCAGAAGGTTCTGCATGGTGAGAGGGAAGGAGCGGCTCCTCCGGGTGCCAGCTGAACATGCGACCAGTTCTGTTCCGCCCTCAATTTCCCTGATTGCAAAAGGTGAAGGAGTGAAGCAAACTCCGAGGCACTAAGTCCAAAGCCAGCTCCCACCACCTCCACTTCTCTCATGAAAAGCAATGGTGAAAAGAAGACAACTGAGCCTTGAAGAACATTCCTTGAGGTCTCAGTGTGATCCCTCCCTTCCTAAAGAAGATAGGCCTTCAGGGAGAAGTTCGCCCGACTTCTGTAGGATAGACCTATCTGCTCCTCATCCGTGCTCAAGTTTCATTTTGACTATTGTACCACATTCCCACTGGTTTACCTTTGGTTAGACTTCCCAAGAAATGTCATTTCCTGCTTTCTTAAGAAAAACAGAAGGACTCTTACTCAGGTCTACCCTATGCTTTGTTTTTCTCTAGAGTCCATGAGGTTCTCAGAGGACGGACCACCAGAAAAACGTTTCCCATGTGAATTTTGTGGTCGGACATTTGCAGAAGGCTCTGAGTGGGAACGGCATGTACTGAGGCATGGCATGTAAGTTAGTTTAAGACCTGTAGCTAAGAACAATCAAAAGAAATAAGTATTGTCTCTCATAGTATATATTATAAAGCACACAGTAGAAGAGTCCTTTCCAACGAAGGTATTGTTGGTGCCTAGTATGAAAATTCAGATTTCATTGCGGTTTCATAAATTCTACAGCCTTGTGTGGTTTAAAGAGATTTTGAGGTAGCTACTGAATCACAACATTAGAAAGGGAGTCAGATATGAATGAAAGTAAGAGCAGAAAGAAGCAAGGAAAGAGACTTTAACTATGGAAATGGCTGTAGCAAAAGCAGAAAGAAGAGCAACTGGGTGTAGAACTACTGAAGATGGTGTTCACAGTTCTCCCTGACCCCTCTCCCTTAAATCTGGATCATCTTTGTCACTGTAAGACTAGTTTAGATGTTGACTTTAGAGGGGAAGAACCATATAAACTGTTTTAGCTCTTGAAAGAAAGACCGGTTATAAGCATAATAAATGAAAACTGGCTTGAAGGATTGAAAAGTAACCTGAACCCTTCTGATGGTCAGCTTCGGTAGTAATCTTGTTAGATCAAGATGAAAGGCTAACCAATTTATTGTGGCATACATTTTTGTGGATTAGAATTCCTGTCACTGGTACATGAAGACCTCATGCAAATGGGTAGGTGGATATATAATTAGATCCTGAGAGTAGTAGTGGAACAGACCTGGGCAAAGTGTAGCCCGTGAGCCACATACGGCCCACGAGCCGCTCCTGTCTGGCCCGCCCGTCGCTGCTGAGTGAGCCAGAGCTCCAGCTCCTGTCACCCAGCACAGCAGTAAGCAAAACCCATGAGATCTGATGCTGGAATCTCGCAAGTTTTGACTGTTACTCTTGAGGCTGGAAGCGATCCTTGCACATGTCGCCTGTGTGGGATAGAAGACAGTCCTTTCCACATGTCACCTGTGTGGGATAGAAGACAGTCGGAGAGGAAGGCCGTGGGGGGACGGAGGACAGGTGAGTTAGCTCAATGTTGGGTTTTTTCTCCCCCCCCCCCATGGTGAACGAATTACAGTGCTCACATAACAACACCGTTTCATTTTATTTTTAAGTAAAGTTGGTTCAGCCCCCGAACACAGTTCATATTTTTTATATGGCCCCCTATAGAAATTAATTGCCCACCCCTGTAGTGGAAGAAACACAAATGTATAATGTTATCTTTGAAAAACAAAGCCGATCAGCTGGACCATTGCAGATTTAGTTGTAGGTGGGTAATAATACAGAATCAAAGCAACTTAATAGAAGATTCAGTCAGCGTGGATGTGATCTGCTCCTGACTAGCAGCTGCTGAGAGTGAATAACCATCACAAGATCACTCATGCAAATAAAAAGCTAATAAAAAGGATACTTTCTGTAGTGAATTAGAAATGCCCACAATCTGTTGAAATTCAAATCCATGTTGTTAAATTGCTAGGGATTTTCCAATTCAGCACCTATGTGTGGGAGCCTTCCTTTTAAGGTTTTTCTTTTTAAAGCCAAATAATCAGATTTCTGCAGAATTACCTGGGAGAATGAAATGAATCTTCCAGTTGCTACATCTGCTCACCATTACCACTCACAGCTTTTTTTACTCAGTTGAATTCAGCATCCTTTTCACCTTCTGCCTAGTACTTTGACACATTGACTGATCCTTCTTGAATTGTCTGACCTTTTGGTTTAATTTTGTCTTATTTAAGCAGTTTTTCCTCTTTTTTCTTGTAGTTAAGAGACAAACATACCTTCCATGTAGATATTTGTTTCATGCATATGACATGCACAAATGTAAGCAGACACTATAAATACGTCTGTTTGTCCTCATGGTGCCATGTGGTTCTTTGTTGTGTTTTCTCTACTAGAGTCAAACATGGCTTCCTTCTCAAGAGCTTGTAATAGCACAGCCTATACCTACCAAGAAGGGCTTCTCAGTCACAGCTTAACACATACTCATGCAACCTCTGTGTCAAAAATGTCTCCTTTCCCTATTTTCTGGATTTCCAGGGCTGTTAATGAAACCAACCGGATGATTAGTGAAGAAAGCCAGCCGAAAGAGAATGCAGAGACCGTTGAGGTCCCGTTGACAGAAGAGATGGAGAGCAGCATGGAAGTGGTGGTGGACTATTCCCAGCAAGAACCTGCCGTCTGTATTGTTGCTGCTGTTGATAAATCACTCCCAGAGAATGAAGAGGCCAAAAGCGAATGAGCACCTGGTGTGGTTTCAGACAACCTACTTGAACCGTGACGGATGGGATGGGGTGGGTCGGGGGACAAGGAAGAATCAAAGCTGCTTTTAGGACTGAATGATCTATTTTCAAAGCACTGGTACCTGTATGTGTGTGTGTGTGCGTGTGTGTACATATATTAAATTTATTTAATTGAGGATAACGAAATATGTGGCTCCATTACATCTCTGCAACTCTTCTGGATCTTAACAATGGGAAGTTAAGTTCATCTGGACATGAGAAGCAAACTTCCAAATTTCCAAGCGTTATGCCATTGCTTTGCCATGGAGACTCTGGATTATTTTGAGGATGGAAGAGTGCAGGGGACAATTTTCAGCGCACAGAGTTGGGCGCTTTTTTCTAATTTTAATATACATACTGTATTATGCTTTTACAGACTGACTGACTTGCTTTAGAAGAAGAAGAAAACAAACAAAAAACAAACTGCTTTGCTTAAAACAGTCACCTGTTTCCTAGTACCTCAGAATTAACCAAGGGAAATTTAAAAAAAAAAATACAAATCTCTGCATTTGTCAGTACTACCTGTTGTCGTTGTGGTTAAATGTAGAGACAGACTGCTGGGCAAGATGGTGAATGGAAGAAAAAACAAACCACAAAGTTTTAAAAGAGAGGAACACAAAATTGTGTGCAAAATCCCTGTGGGGGTTTTATTTCTTAAAATACTGTGATTTTTTTAATTATTTTAGTAAAAAAAATACAAAAAAGAGAGAGAATTCCTAGATACCTGTCTGTGACTTGTCATCTTTTATTCCAGGTAAGCTGTTTGTTAGCGTTCAGCAATGATTTTAGGGTGTGTGTGTGTATGTGTGGTGTTGGTTTTTTTTTAAAGACATGTGACTGACTATGTGCCGTTCTTGTTTTGCCCCATGTCTATGTCTGCTCAGCCTGAGGGATTACAAATACAGCACAATTAAGGTTTTATTTTGTTTTGTTTTCATATAAAATAATGTTATTTCCTCACCTTTGGTCCCCCACCCACCCAGGAGACAGGGTTGGGAAGGAGGATTTGTTCTTGTCAATACAATTTCTTTCTTTACAAAGACGTAAACATTTTTTTACAAACATTTTAAAAAACCCATTGAAACTAAAGAACCAAACTTACAGCACAGCTATGCAGTTGGTGGGCCAACCAAATGGGTCCTCATAATCATTCTGTTGCTTATCTCAAATTGAACATCTCTCACTGGAAATTATTTTGGTTATAAAGAATGGTTGCCTTTTCTTTGTATGTGGTGTGTCTTCTTTGGGCGCAATGGGGGGGAGGGAGGAGGGAGCTTATAAACACATCGTTTTGAAAGCTTGAGATGACCCAGTTCTAGTAATACTTGGGAGCCAGGAGATCTACTCTATGGATTTCAAGGCGGGAGTTAAAATATTTGTATCGCCACCTCCTGTGAACTCTTTCGCATGAGGAGGAGCAGCGTAGCATAAATAGGAATCTGCACGCGTGGAGTCTGAGCTTTTGTTCCTCGTTCATGCAAGAATGTCTTTGGATGTTTTGCATGAAGATGAAATGGAAGGTCGGGGCCTGTGGGTAAGGGTTTGATTGTGAACAAAGGGGTTTCTCTCCAAAAAGTAGAAAGTACTTGACTGAAACCTAGTTTTAGAAATGCATGTGTCTTTTTGGATTGTTTTTCTTTTTCATGTTTTTATTTTTTTGTTTTGCGCTTTTTTTTAAAGCTTTGGGGCTATGGGGTGGGAGGGGTGGAGAGAGAAACTGTTGAGAAGTCAGCATCCAACAGGACTTCTCTTCCAATTGATAGCAAAAGAAGCGGGGGGGATGGAGAGAGAGAGAAAAAGAAACAATAATACTGTTGCATTTGTGAAATAAGTGCTACTTGAAAAGCATGGTGTTTTGATTTTGAGGATTCATATTTTGTGGAGTGGGTGGGATTTCTTTTTTATTATTATTTGGAGGGAGGGCAAGTCATGTGGAAAACACATTGGAAGGACAAGTATAAATACACATTTTGTGTCTGAATGTTTTCTTTTTAAATTGGCCTGATTTCAAATGTATTTAAACAGTTTCCATACCTGGATTGGGTGTTTGTAATGGTTACCAAAAATGAAAAAGATGAAAAAAAAATGAAATAAATGATTGTGACATGCTTTTATCACTACTTTATTTTTCAAATAATATGTAAATATTGTAATCCATTGGATTTGTTTTGTTTTTTGTTTTTTTGGTTTTTTGCTAACCTGTTAATAAATATATGGGACCATTATCCTTTTTAACAAGTCTAGAATGTCATATTTTTTCTTGTGTTTTTTTTTCTTCCCAAATGTATACCTTTATATATTGTGAACCCACATTTTAGATGCATTATTATGTTTCTGTTGGCTGTAATGATGACCTAGGATTGAGAATAACTTTTTTTTTCATTTGTTTAATTTATACAGAGGACTTTTTCATAGTTTGACAGAAGGAAATAAATAGCAAAATGATAACCCACTGGCTTCAGAACTCAGTATTTCCTAATTAAAATTAACTACTGCTCAGTGTTTGGTGGATGAGGAGTGGAAGTTCTGAAATGTTGCACTGATAACTTTTTTTAAGGCAAAAGAAACCGAATAAAGAATTTTCAAAAGTGAGTGTGTGTATGCTTCTATCCAGTTGAAAATTATTAAAACTCCTTGCCTGCTTTCTTTCCAATCTTGGTTTAAGAGTAATTGGGGGGTAGAAGTGGTGTCAGTGTGTTTTCAACTATTCTTTTAAAAATAGTCCCTTAAAGGTAAACTATTCATACCCTTAAAGCTTATTTTGTTTTGCTTATTTTTCAATTGATGGCATTTTTCTTACTGATATTTATTTCAGTGATGCAACTGAAACATATTTCTTCAAGGACTACAGTCTAAGAATGTTTGCTTCGAAGTATATCCCATTGGGCTTAGTAAAACTGCATAAATGTATTTGGGGTTTTCCTTTAGGTTCCATTGAAATGAACGGGATTTTGCAAGTCTTGACTTTGTCATTACATTAACTGACTTATTTTCACAAAATTCAGTCTGAATTCTTTTTAGCAATCAAATGACTGCTATTTTTTGTCAGGAGCTACTTAAAAAAACAGGATTTTCAGCCTGGGGTGTCATACCTACAAAGAATTTACATAGCAATCAAATGACTGCTATAAATAAAATAAAATTCTACTTCCATTCCACCAGTTCAGTCATTCACTAATTTCCCAAACCTTTCCCCATCCCAGTATCTTTTTATCTTTGAATGTCCCTCCTTTCTTTTCCCTTATCACCATCCAAACAACTTGGAAAAAGAAATAAATTTGTAATTTAAAATTGATCATCCTTTGCTTGTCTCCAGATTCCCCAAATAAGGGGTGGAGAATTTGGCAGAGTGTTGCTTGTTTCTCCAGGTGCAGTACTGTTGCTGCTTCAAAAGCACATTGTCCCTGTAACATGATGTAGAAATATTAGTGCTACTGGTAATACTACAGAAATGTGCTTAAGCTGATACTGCTTTCATACACTTATATCCTCCTTTGGAATATTTTCACACCCTCTGGCACACACGGACCTACAACTTAGTTTGGAATCCAATGGCTTAATTAATGTACAGTGGTGCCTCGCTAGACGATTACCTCGCAAAATGGTTAATTCGTGAGACGATGGGTTTTGTGATCGCTATAGCACTTCGCAAAACTGTTTTCCCTATGGGCAAGTTTCACTACACGATGTTTTGGTCCGTGCTTCGCAAGATTTTTGTTTGTTTGTTTGTTTGTTTTGGGACGGTTTTTCGCAAGATGACGATTTTGACAGCTGCCAGCTTGCTTCGCAAAACCTTTTTTTTATTTTTTTATTTTTGGGGGACGGTTTTTCGCAAGACAGCGATTTTGCCAGCTGGGTCCGTGCTTCACAAAACGGTTTTCTTATGGGCGATTTTTGCAAGACGACGTTTTTTCCCCCCATTGGAACACATTAAATAGATTTCAATGCATTCCAATGGGGAACCACATTTCGCAAGACGATGTTTTCACAAGACAACGATTTTTGCAGAACGAATTAACAGAGTCCCTATGGCATCACTGTAATTGTCATTCTAATTCAAATCCACACTGGTCTCCTTTCTGTCCAGCACAAATGTAGTTCTATTCTTCAGAAGTCTTCCTGCCCCCCCACATCTTTTTTTTTTAATTTTATTTTCCTGTTTCCCAATCATTATTTTCTTGTTTATGGGCTTCAGGAAAACAATTTATGAAGCAGGGACAGGAATTAGTGAATGGAGATTAGTGAATGCTTTTTTCCTGGTTAGAAAGTAGGAAAATTGGATTAATTCAGGGGCAAGGGCCCTAAACTAATCATTCGAGCCTTAAATGCGCATATACCTTAACTTTTAAGGTATATGCACATTTCTTTAGAGTTTCTTCTGAGCAGGGGGTTGGACTTGATGGCCTTGTAGGCCCCTTCCAACTTCACTTTTCTATGATTCTGTGATAGAAGATGGATGCTCAGCAGCTCCCACTGAGACAAATATTAATAGAGATGCATTGCATTTTCTTCATTTTTCTTTTTCCTGGTTGGACTCCAAATCCTGGAATCCTCTAAGAATTCCCTAGGTAGAATTCTGGGGAGCTTCAACCCACAAACACACACCTGCAGAAACCTTCACCTGGAGAAAGGAGGCCTCTGCTAGGCCTTATTTCCTACTGCAAGGTTTCCAGGGAGTAGTTATCTCATTCCCCCGTTATGCCCTGAAGAGGGCATCGTTTGAGGCCTCCTAGGCAATGATGGCCTAGAACAGTGATGGCGAACCTATAGCATGCAGGCACATGAGCCATAAGTAATCAGATTGCTATCCCCCCCCCTGCAGTCAAACCTCAGGAGGAGGCGGTTCTGGCATTTCAACAAGCGGCGGGCCAGGATCCGGAGCAGCTGGCGGCTGATCCAGAGTGGGGTCTTGAGGCACCTCTGTGCCCGGAATTCCCCCTTCTGCAGCCACTTCCGGTTCCACCGCAGCCTGCTTTTCCGCTCCTTAGTTTGGGCACTTGGGCCCAAAAAGGTTCACCGCCACTGGCCTAGGAGAAGGGCCTCTGCCTTCTTTCGAGGAATGGAAGGTGGGGGGCTGGAACCCCCTTGAATTCTACCTGGAGAATTCTGGGATCAGGAGTCCAACCATACACAAACAAGAAATGAAGGACACATCCTGTATAGGCAAGCAGTGAAGGAGCAGGGACAGAAGGAAAAGAATGAACAGCTATGTAGCTGCAGAAAGCTTGATTGGGTGGACAGAGCTCTTCCAGAAGACCTCCGGTTGCTCAGGGTTGTAGAACTGGAAGAACAAAAGTCATTTTGTTTGTACTGGGAGAGAAAGAATGGGTTGGATCAGGAATCTTCTGTCTTGACGTGGGGGCTCCCCTGTCTCAGTCAATGCACTGCCCCCAGAGTCAGACCTAGAGCTTGCTATATGTGGCTAGAAGGGCTATGCTCACTGAAGGTGCTCACTATGCACTGTCTCCAACAAGTTAAAAGTTTGTCTGCTTTTCAAAATTCTGGTTGTCTAATAAAGATAGGACCCATGCATGTTTGCAATTTAACCACACTTATTGCAGTAGCTTGAAACACTTTTGAGCCTCTAAAGGTAGCAATGTAGCTTAAGAAGGCATGAATAAATGCAAGTTAAAGTGAAGCCGTTTACAGTGGTGCCTCGCTTAATGACGTTAATTCATTCCAGCGAAATCGCTGTAGAGTGAAAATGTCGTAAAGCGAAATAAAAAGCCAATTGAAACGCATTGAAAACTGTTCAGTGCGTTCCAATGGGCTGAATAACTCACCGTCCAGGGAAGATCCTCCATAGGGGCGGCCATTTTCGCTGCCTGTAAAGCGAGGAATCCATCCAAAAACACAGCGGGGAGCTATTTTGAGCAGCTGGTGGCCATTTTGAAAACCCGATGATCAGCTGTTTTGATTGTTGTAATGCGAAGAATCGGTTCCCAAAGCAGGGAACCGATCATCGGGAAGCAAAAAAAAGCCCATTAAAACATCATTTTGCAATCGCAATTGCGATCGCAAAAACATTTTCGTGAAGTGGATTCGTCATATGGGGTCATCGTTAAGCGGGGCACAACTGTTTTAGTGGCATATGAAATTACAGGTAACAC